TAGAACAGAAAGGATGGGTGCTAAAGTGCTTCCTTTAGCTCCAGAATTCTCCAGAAATACACCCAACATGAGGCCCTCCCATCATGATACATTTATTCTTTCCTCCAGCACAGATTATACTGCACCTGTTGAGTAGGCTTGGGAGGCAGGATGATTTATCAATTACTCATTTCTTTAACTTACCCGACTGAAAAGTGAAGCAAATGCTGTGTGTGTTTCAGGGCTCATTCCAAACCCACCTGAGTTTAAATATGGGCTCATTAGTTCTTTGCAAGAATGAAAATAAAGGTTGGCAAAGGTTTAGATAAAAGAAGAAAATAGCAGAGAGATCTCGGGACCCAGCTCTGCCTAGCAGGACTGGTAGTCCATAGGCCCTCTCTTGGGGTGCCTGGCTCCCACCTCTGCTAGAGGATCCTGAGGAAGGAGCTCCTAGCTGTGCTGGGAATGGCACAGGCTGGGGTGCTCCGGCAATAAGCACAAAGGTTTTATGTTATATGCAGCATTCTTTGTGGGAGATACAGTTTTTAAAAAAATGGCATAGCCAATCACCCTTCTCAGAAGGAAGAGCCTCAGGAAAGGGGATTTTAGGCTGCTGGCTTTATCAAAAGTCAGAAACAAAGGGAAGACTCTGTGCTTCTTAAGAAAACAAACTTTGCATTTGGGATTTTAACTTTAAGTCTAGAGAGAGGGCGGAAAGATCAGTGGATACCTGAGGAGCCCACCTGGGACTCAAGACAATGGTAGGAGGCACACAGTCTCCAGGACCTCCCTGGTTTCCCTGCTGTGTGACACAGAAGGGACCTGTCTGCCACACTGAGTTTCCATTACCCCATCCTCAACTCCAAAAAATAACAACAATCTACCTCACCAGGTAGGCTCTATATGCACACAGGGAGATGGCACTCCAGCATATCTGGTAAAGCATACTAGAGAAAAGACAAACTTTGTATATGTAGACAAGCCAGAGGGAAATATTGCTCAAAAATAATCTAGCAGCATCATACTGTGGGAAGAATATGGATTTAAAATCTCAGTAGATTGGCTACAATGCACACCTTCACTTCTTCCTAGCTCTGTGGCCTCGTGACTTCTCTGAAACTTCACTTTGTCATCAGCAAAATAGGGATAAAAATAGCCCCCATGAAATAGGGCAAAAGCCCCCTGATACTCTCTTTCAATATCCTTGGTAAGTAGAATCAGATACAATAACCCTGCCCACCCTCCTGCCCTACTCTGCTTTTTCCCGTTTTTGAGACTGCCTCATCCTGCAGTCTGAGACAGTCTGAGAGCCCTTCGTCCTTATGGTTCTGCCAGTGCTGCTTGAGGCCTCCATCAAGATGCAAACCTATCGGCTTTCCCCTTTGCAAATCGAAGGCAAGACAACTTCCTCTTTTCTCCTAGGGCCTGTAAGCCTGCCAGAGTTCTCCCCCGAACTCCTCACTCAGACATAGGGAAAATGTCCCCTCTGTCCCCAGGTTTATTCCCTTGTATATTTCTTCACCAATTTCCAGGTCCCCAGAAGCGAGTGCCTGCTTCCATTTCTTCCCAATTAAGTTCCCTGGGGAGGGGGAGGAGCTTCACACCCAAGTGCAACCCAGCAGGTATTAGTGAGAATTCTGATCAGGTCAGGGAGCAGAAACTAACATTTGCAGCCTGTCTCCCAGCTCCTAATAGGCAGGGGTTACAAATGTCATTATGCGTGCCACTTTCCTGGGGCCCCTCCCTGGCTCCTTTGAAGATTCCGTGAAGTCCTGCCTCTTGCAATCTGCATTTCTTCTTTCAATACCTTTTCCCCCCTCAATCTTGAGCATCAAACTTATCTGGCCCACACTCTATCACTGGATTGTGTTCCCAGCCCTCCAGAGGTATTTAGTGTCTTTCTTCTCTAGTAAATTTCATGGGGGAGGAGCAGCTGCAATCAAGTATGTAATTTTGTAATAGGTCCTTAGAACCCTTTCACTCATTGCCTGACACAGAGAAGGCACTTGATAGGTGAAAGTTGAATGAATGGGTGAAGGAAGGAAGGAAGGAAGGAAGGAAGGAAGGAAGAAAGGAAGGAAGGAACTAATGAATGCATGAAATAATCCATCTCAAGACTTTCGATGTGGAAAAGATGACCACTTTCTGGATTGCCTTGTGCAAGACTCTGAAACGCAAAATGCACTTACCAACGCAACTCAGTGAGTGGTCGAACTAAGATTTGAATCCAGGTTATCACTGGGCCTCGCTGTGTTGGATTTAATTTAGGTTCCGACTGGGAACACTGTTGACAAAGGCAAATAAAGAAGTGGAATGTGTCTGCCCATAACTCCTTCCCCACCCCCAACATAGCCTGCTCTGTGCTGCGTATGAGGGTTCGGAGAGCTTTGTGCAACCCACGCAAGGCAGCAGGATGGAGACAGGGGCTGCCCTTGTCTTTCTGCTGAGTCTCACTGGCTCCTCCACGGAGCCCCTCCCTGCCTGTCCCTACTAGAGCAATACTTGGACAAAAGTCTCAGAACAAAGCCCACATTTTCCCACCCGAGTAGAGAGGCCGCTGCTGGAGAAACAACGGCCTTGCTGCGGATCAAAGGAGCTGAGCCCGACTGCGGACAAAAGCTTAGCTGGATAGGAATGACAACCTGTCCTGCCCCTCGTTTCACGGAGGTCTAGGGAGAATCTGCAGGCCTCATTGGAGGCCTACCCCACCTTCCAAGTGCACCTCCCAGCCCCTGGCTCCTTTCCCGGGCTGCAGAGCACTCAGAGAACCAACTGAATGGCCTGTGTCCCTGGGCCTCCTCCTTTTGCATTCTAGGTTGCTGCCCCTCCCCCACTTTCTCCTTTAAGGCCTCTACTGGGGTTTCAGCACTTCAGCCTCAATGTTACCTCCCATCGACTTTGAACTGGGTTTCATCACAGCCCACTGTGTCCACGCATGCTCATGGAACAGTCTCCTCCCCTGATTCCAGCACTGATCACACCAAACCATCACCACTGGGTTGAATGCCTTTCGTTCATCTGGACTGTGACCACACAGAGGCCAGGACACTCAGAATCTGATTTAAGCGCCTTGCCTAGGTCAAGGTGCTGAATGAAGAGAGCAGCGGATGGCAGGGAGGAGAAGGGTTTCAGAGGCTGGACATGAACTTGGGTATCACTTCCTCTGTACAAACCCAAACTGTCTGATCTCTCTATCTCTTGTGCTTTAATTTACTCCGCTCATATTTTTAAAGTGTAACTGCCAGGTGCTGGGAATGTACCGACAGTCAAAACAATGGGGTGAGTTTAGCTGGGCAGGGATGGGCAGGCAGATCCTAATCGACTGCATGGCTTAAAGTTGTGGTACTCGTTGTGAGGTAAATGCAAGCGGCAGTGCAGTCAGAGGGCTCATCCCTGTGCTGAGAGGTGGGTCAGTCTTTAAGACTGAGTGTGCTCCTCCTCCGGAGGATCTGAGTTTGGTTCTCAGTACCGCGTGGGGTACCTGACAACCATGTGTGACCCAGCTCCATAGAAACTAGTCACCTCTGGCCTCTGCAGGCACACATACACATATGCACATAATTAATTAATTAATTAATTAATTACAGCCTTTTTAAAAATTAAAAAGAGTATATATCAGTATTTATACCCAATATAAGCTGAGAGCTCACCAAGTCCAGAGCAGTGTTTGGGGCTGGGGACGAAGCAGCTTCCATGCAGCTAACCTATCCTGTAATGGGAGAAGCTGGTCCAGGCTGAGAACACCTTCCAGAGGAAGCTGGAAGAAAGAGGCCTCTGGGATTGGAGGGCAAAGCATGGCAAGTTGCCTCTCTCTGAGGGCCAGGCTTTGTCTGCAGCTCCCTATGAAGGGATTGATGTCTGCCACAGCAAAAACAAGACACGTCATGTTCATGTTCATTCAACACAAGTTTGCAGTTTGCCAAGCACATTCACTTAAATGGTCTTGTTTCTCAGAACAAAGTTCAACCCCCAGGCTTCAGAGCCAAGGAGAACTGGCTTCTAATCAGTCATATTAACTGTTACCCCTGTGCCAAGCTATTTCACCACTCCTGGTCTCTTTTTTCTCTTTGTCACTTGAAGCCTGTGTCTTGCCATCACAGCTACAGGTAGAAGAGTGTACTCTAAGGTTGCCATAGTCATGTGCCATGGCCTAGTGACTTAAGTCACAGAAATACATACTCTTACAACCACTGGGGCTGGAAGTCTGTGGTGAAGACAGGACACACACATACTGGGTTTTGTTTTGTTTGTTTGTTATTATTGTTGCTTTGGTTTTGGTTTTGTTTTGTTTTTGAGACAGAGTCTTCTTGTATAGCTCTGAATGGCTTAGAATTTGCTAGTACACCACACTGACCCTGAATTTACAGAGATCTCTTCCTGCCTCTTCTTCCTGAATGCTGGAACTAACGATATGAGCCAGTTCTTGCCCTTTCTTACAAGACCCCAGTCATACTGAAGAAGGGACAGATACTGAAATCCTGAAGGTGAGACCCTCAGCACAAGGATTTAGAGCAGTGGTTCTCAACCTTCCTAATGCTGTGACCCTTTAATACAAATCCTCATATTGTGGTGACCCCCAGCCATGAAATTATTTTCAATGCTACTTAAGAACTGTAACTTTGCTAATGTTATGAATTGTAATGTAAATATCTGATATGTAGGATATCTGATATTCAACCCTTGTGAAAGAGTCAGTCGATCCCCAAAGTGGTTGTCACCCACAGGGTGAGAGCTGCTAATTTACACAAAAACATCCTCTTCCCCTAGCAGATGAAATAGCATATCAAAGTTTCTGCTGGCACACAGCACACCCTGAGCAGATCCATGGACCATGTCTCTGACAGGATACCATGGGAGGTTTGGAACTTGGCAGCCACCAGTTCTTGCCCTAGGCTGTAGTCCCCTTGATTTTAAGCCTGCCTTGCTGACTCAATGACCTTGGCCAGATCTTGGTGTGTTATCCATGATAACAAAAGGCCCGTTGCACACCATAAATCCCATGTTCTTTTTATTCTCACCAGGTCCTAATGTGAATTGCTCAATCTGCCAGGCCAGGAACATAGCCTGAGAAAGGAGCAAAGAACCTGACATTTTCAGAACCATTTGCTCACCAGGGCCTTAGCCTCCTGCCATTGCTGCTGAGAGGTAAGCAGGACAACTCTAGGACATTCTCCTCTTCCCTACTGTCCCTCAGAAAGGGTGCCAGCAGCTGTCTGAGGGGAAGTCAGTGGTAGTGCTATCAAAGACCTAACTTTGGAAACTGTGCCCATGAGGTTCATTTGTCCCCAGATCACCCACTGGTATTTTAGGCCACAAGCATTCCTCTGGCCACCTGCCCTGTTCTGGTATGCTGGGGACAGCTAACTTCCCTCAACTAGTGAAGTCTTTTTCCTTGAGGTCACTTTCATTGTCCTGCTTTGTGGTGACATGTTAAAGAGTATGTTGAGTGGTTTGGTTTGTTTGAAGTATTATTATTTGTTTGGGTTTTTTTTTTTTGGTGTTATTTTGGTTTGGGTTCACCTTTGTTTTTTAAGATTATATCAGCATATCTAATATGTAGCTTGGGCCCAGGCAATTCTTAAAGTCCAGCTTTAGTTTACTGTTTATGATTTTTTTTTTGAACCCAGTCAAATCCATATAGTAACTGTTGGGTTACAGACGGTTCCACTAGGCTTCTTCCAACAACAGCCTAGCAACAGCTTGCAGCATCACCTGCCACATTGCCCGCCAAGTGCAAGCCAGGTGTGGCAGCATATAAAAAGTATGAAGAGGACCACTCGCTACCCCACCCCTCCCTTCTCTCTCTCTCTTTCTCTCTAACACCACCACACACACACACACACACAGGCGCTCTCTCTCTCTCTCTCTCTCTCTCTCTCTAACTCTCTCTCTCTCTCTCTCTCTCTCTCTCTCTCTCTCTCTCTCTCTCTCTGTTCCCATGGTTCCTGGCAGCTCACTCGCTCTCTTTGTCTCTGTCTCTCTCAGTCTCTCTCTGTCTCTCTGCCCCCCTTCCTTCTGTGTCCCCTCTTTCTCTGCCTCTATCCCCTTAGCAGGTTCCTGCTCCCTCCCTTCCCCTTTCCCACAGTAAACTTCCTTATATCAGGTCTGTCATACGGCATGATTTCTCTGGAGGACACCTTGGCTTGGGCATACCAGATACTCCATTTTATGAGAGCCATATTTTTGCATTAATTTTTAAAACAACTCCTGCTCATTACGGAATTGGAAAATGGAAAGACAGACTATGTGTGCAGATGCACAGCCCATGTCCTATCCATTAAGATCGTGCTACTGGTGCTGGCTTGCTTTCCTCCAGTCTTCCTTCTTGAGAAACTGGGAGCATGCTAGAGTTGAAGTTGTATGTCTTTATTGTTTTAGCTCATTTTTTTTTCCTGAGATGTCTGCATAGCATTTTGTTAAACTGCCGTGCCTCCATTAACTTAGCCATCTTACCCCTGTTAACAGATGTCTGCTGCTTCTGTTTTTTCTTGGCTGTCGATATCTTTTGTATTTGTCTTATTTAATTTGCACAGTCTGGCCTGAGTCCTCCACAAAGCTATTTCTGACACCCAGCTACTTTACCCACCTTTTAAAATCACATCCGTAATTTCAGATGCTATCATCTTAAGAGTAAAGTAGTCACTTAGAGTGAGAAGCGAGGACTGTGAGCCATAGCCATAAGGAGCTAACACAGCCTGCTCGGCTTTGCCTGGTTGTCTGCAGCACTAGCAGCTGGACCTAGCGTCTTGTGTACGCTAAGCAAGTGCTCTCTACCAGTCCTCTTCTTTATTCTTTTATTTTTGAGATGGAACCTTGCTAATTTGTCCAGTTTTGACTGGAAGATTGTGATTTTCCTGTCTCATCTTCCAGAGCAGGCTGATATTACAGGCATGGACTCACTCTTTTAGGCCCATCTGTGCTCTGAGTTAGGAGGCAGGTGACAGGAGCTAACACCATTCTCCAGTTGGGAACTTACCCACTGAACAAAGTTAGAAATGTTGTACCTTTCAAAACAAAACGTAGAGAGCACAAATGTCTCTTGGCATCTGCCATGCTGACAAATGTGTGGAATGAGAATAAACAGATGTGTCATGCACCTCCAGGAAGGGAGAATTGTAACATCTACACTCAAACAAGAGCGGATTCCCATTCGACAGAAAGAAAGAGCACCTGTTATGCACGGGAGGTCCGACGGACCACAGACTTGAGTTTGATCCTTGCTCAATTGCTTACTGGCTGTGTGACCTTGGGATAATGTGCCAAGTGTGTGGCCTCTAGAATTCATTTCCTACAAATTCAAACGTTTCTTTTTCGGACACACCAGAAGAGGGCATCCAATCTCATTACGGATGGTTGTGAGCCACCATGTGGTTGCTGGGATTTGAACTCAGGACCTCTGGAAGAGCAGTCAGTGCTCTTTGCTGGGATTTGAACTCAGGACCTCTGGAAGAGCAGTCAGTGCTCTTAACCACTGAGCCATCTCTCCAGCCCCAAATTCAAGTGTTTCTAAGTTGATCTGAGGATCAGAGGCCATGACCACTTAGCATATGAATGAGTCAGTTTGCAAGAGAGCTTACAGAACGGCCCTTTCGAGTTGTTTGTTTGTTTGGGATTCTGTTTGTTTATTTTAGTGCTAGGTTATAGCTGTCTGACCCTGGCTGCCTGGAATAAGCAAACAAAACTGGGAGGCTCACACGCCCAGTAAAAGGAGGAGGCAGATGGAGAACAAGCTAAGATCCCTGATGCCTTTGAGGAAAGAGGGAAGGCAGAGTTAGAAATTGCAAAAGACTTCGCCCAGTGCTTATCTTCAGAGCTGTTATCAGCAAGGCTGCTTTGAACAGCCATCTGCTTTATCCACCTTGATTCATTAATTTGGATTCTCATTCAGCTCCTCAGGGAGAGGACTCTCCTGGGAGCACGTGTACAAAATAAACTGTGCTTCTGATAAAATGGCTGTCGTCAGCCTCCACTGCCCTTAACGACTGTCCCTAGGGTTTATGGTGTTTGAGAAGAGAGGCAGCCCGGATGGCAGAGCACTCCTGCAGCTATCAGGGCTTAGGATACCATCTGTGGAATTAGCTTTCCTTCCCCAGGAATGTCTGCAGTATTTACAGAGTAGGCTGCCTTGTCTCCAGGATGGTTCTTGGGCTATGAGGGCCCTTCCCTAGCCCCCTCACCTCCAGCTATGGGACATTCATGGGTTTTAGATAGTTGGCCATTGAAGTTGGAATGTTAGGAGTGCAGCTTGACACATCTTCCATCAACTTCCTTGAAAAGAAAGATCCCAGAAAGGCAGCCTGCCCTCCTCCTTTGACCTCATCAGCCCAGCATCTTAGGAACTTATCTCTTCATTGATCTCAACTCTGACTAGTGCCCTTCACTTGAATGCCAGTTACAACAGGCCATGCATTCCTAGTCTTCACTGAGCAGACTCCATCCGGCACTGAAGAGAGGACAGAATTGCATGCAGGAGGAGGGGTGGCTTTAAGCTGCTTCACCTCGTAAATTCTGACTTGGGTACTTCTCAGCCAACTTTCCTTTCCCTCCACTGAACATTTCTGACTTGAGTCTCCTGAAAGCAGAACCAGACAAATAAAAGCTCTGAAGCCAGATAGCTCAGATCTGGCATTTATTATATAACATAAAGGCCATGATATGTCAAACCCTTGTCCCATGCCCATAACCAAGTGAACACTGCTAAAGTTAGCTGTCTGAATAACCGCGTGACCTTAGGCAAGTTCTCTTTGCCTCTCTGGAACTCTTTCCTCATCTGGGAGAGGAGACAGCTATAAAAGGTGCATGGGAAGAAAGCAAAATGTCTTTCCACTCACATTGGGCTGGGCTCAAGCCTTGCTTCTTTCACCTTATAAACCATGTGTCCTTAGTGTGTTGTTTCACTGTTGCCCGGTTCAGAGTTAAAAAATATTCAAATAAAAATATCCATCTTCCAAGGATGCCGGGTAAAATAGAGATAACACCCAGAGAGTACCTAGGATGAAAAGCATGTGCCCTTCACTGACAGAGTGACTGCCACCTTAAGTTCCCAGGGCAGCAATATATATCCTTATTAAGAGACATCATCCTCTTCCAAGGGTGACATAGAAAATCACTAGCCAACTCTGTCTGCCTGAGGCAGGCATTGTGGGTATAATGGATGAGCTTCACTAGTGAGATCAAAATCAAGATCCCAGCCCCAGAAGCAGCACTACCAGCTCTTCAAATGCTGCCTTTTGCCCTCTCAAGCATGCCTGCTCCCTGCCATTGATCAAGGTTTGATATTCCTCTCATAGATAGACTCCGTGCTCTGGGTTTCTACCCCTCCCCGACTCTCTGCTTTCTCTGTGCCACATTACTCTTGCTGTCCAAAGTGGGAAACAAACTTCTAATCTTCCAAACATATCATGAGGTCTTCTAGAATTCTCCACAGTTCATCCTGAGAAGCAGTAATGGAAAAGTAGGAGCTGGGGCCTCCAGACTGGGTCTCATACACTCTGATTCAAGCCTGCTCTGTGCTATCTGCCTCAGGAGTACAGAGAAAATCTCCAAGAAAAAGGGAGTTGAGGGCTAGTGAGATGGCTTAGTGGGTAAAGATGTTTACCACCAAGGTTGACACCCTAAGATTGATCCTCAGGATCCACAAGGTGGGAACAGAGAAAAGTAATATGCTATGACCTCCATGTATGCACCATGGCATGAGTGCAGACACACACACCCCTCATACACACACGCACCTCATACACACAAAATAAATTAGGTCATAATAATTCCTTTTAGTCCTCAAGCACTACAGGACAATGCATGGTGCTGGGCACATCTACTTGTCATTTCTGTTCCTTCCCACATCAACCTCCCTGAAGGTAAGACTCCTATCATCTATGCTTTGTAGGAGAGAGACAGAGCCATGACCAAGCAACCCAGGCAATCTCTGGGCTGCCTTTCTGCTTGTTCACTGGGGATACTGAACAGGCTCCTCCAGAAGTTTGAGGACCCCCTCCTACTGTAAAGTTCATGGTTTTCCCATATCACTGAAGCTACAGTAGAGCATGCTACTACAAGTGGCCTCTTGATGCTTTCTTACAGGAAAGCAGTAGAGAACAGCATGGTGCCTGGAGGTAGCCCAGATTTGCTAAAGATCTGCAAAGATT